TTTAAGTTTGGGGAAAATACATGTGTCTTTCACTTCATGAACACCTACCATACATCCCAATAGAATTCAATTTTTTTGTGACTCCTATTGGGTTTTTGCTTCAATAATATTCTTCCCCAATTTCCTCAAAGGACATTTTCCCCTCTTTGTAAGATTTTCCAAATCCCCTGTTTCCTTTTAGGGAATTATTTTAAATTATCACTGGCTGATGTTTTCAACATAAGACAATGAACAATATTTGAATTCCTACTAATTGTTAACTCTGATAGACAATTAGTGTAATACATAGGGTAAATGTATGATAGCAGGTAAAAGTTAGATAGCAGGAAAGAATAATTAGAAATACAGTAGTTGTGATCATTGGTGTTAATACTTCTATTAGGCTAGGCTACCCATTTGCTTTGTTTAGTCTAACATTTATGAGGGCAATTTAAAAAAAATGTAGTTGCTTTATTTTACTTAAGCATGAATCTTGAATTTCAATATAGAGCAGGTTTAGTTAACAATATCTTTTTTTTTCTTTTTTAAAGGATCAGTCTTGCTCTGTCACCTGGGCTGGAGTGCAGTGGCATGATCATAACTCACTGCACCCTTGGACTCCCAGGCTCAAGCAGTTCTCCTGCCTCAGTCTCCCTAGCAGCTGAGACTACAGGCGCTTGCCACCATACCTAACTTTTTAAAAAGTTTTTGTAGAGATGGGATCTCACTATGTTACTCAGGCTGGTCTTCAACTCCTGAGTTCAAGCAGTTCTGCTGCCTTGGCATCCCAAAATACTGGGATTACAGAGATCAGTCACTGTGCCTGGCCAAGTTAACAATGTCTTATCTTGCAATCAACTCATAACATTTTGATTAAACTAACGTGATTACCCTTAATCACAGAAATGGAAACATTCAGATTCACAATTTTCTTGATTGTTCTTTGTCAAAGACGTTAGTTAATATTGGTTAGAAGAACAACACATTTAGATTTGCACAGTTGCTGTTATTAGAAACATAATATGGTTATAAAATATTCCAAGAATATATGACAATACTTAGGTTAGACAACATGAAGAACAATAGTATTATCAGGGTGTAAAAAATATATATTCTCAGCCATTCTTAAGGAATTAAGAAAAACAGCCATTTGACTTTGTCGAAACTCATACAGTCTTAAAACGGAGGGACTTTGGCCAGGTGTGGTGGCTCATGCCTGTAATCCCAGCACTTTGGGAGGCCGAGGGGGCAGATTACCTGAGGTCAGGAGCTCGAGACTAGCCTGACTAATGTGGCAAAACCCTGTCTCTACTAAAAAAGCACAAAAATTAGCTGGGCATGGTGGTGGGCACCTGTAGTCCCAGCAACTCAGGAGCCTGAAGTAGGAGAAGCTTGAGCCTAGGAGGTGGATGTTGCAGTGAGTCGAGGTTGCCTCTCTGCACTTCAGCCTAGGCAACAAGAGACTCTGTCCCCGCTCTCCCAAAAAAAAAAAAAAAAAAAAAAAACCATGGAGGGACTTTTTAGATCTGTGGGGAACCTATTGACTGGTTAGCCTGGGAGACAGGCTCAACCCTCTTCTCCCTGCTACTTCATGCAACAAAGGCTGGAAAACAACATGTTAACTTTCCCAGCATCCTTTGCAGCTAGAATTGGCTGTATGATCCGTTTCTCACCAATGATCCCTGAGATGGAGTCTATGGCGGAACTTTAGCGAAGTTTTTACTCTTCCTTATACTTTTGTCTTAAATATAAATGACTAGAGTGGTGGGAGTCAATTTGCAACCAAAGTCCACAAGCATGAGGACAAAAAGCTAGCGTGGTAATCATGGCCAAGTAAATAGATACAATGAGCCAGGGCTTTTGAAAACATTGTTGAGCTGCTACACACCTCTTCCATGTTTGCCTTCCTCCAGTCCTTTAATTCTGTAAAATGACTGACTTTATTATTTATGTAATGCATTGTCAGGCTATTTCACTGTCATTTATTTTTCACCAGTAGTAGCATATTCATATAGTTCTCTACCACTTTGAAGAGATACATCTGCAATGATCTGAATACCAAGTCAGTTATCTATCATAAACATGGTTCCTGCTATCTGCATGGTTCAATGTACTTCCATTAGAGTAATCTGACGCAGCAGTATCCAACAGAACACTGATGAAGAACATATTCACATAGAACACATGTTTGTGTGATGAAGGAATATATGTGATCTATTTACGATATAGAACATACATTCATGTACCACAAAATGATGTTTTGGTCAGCGATGAACTGCATACACGATGATGGTTCCTTAAGATTATAATGAAGCTGAAAAATTCCTATTCCCTAGTGACATTGTAGTTAAACAATTTAAGCATTTTATGTAGTCATAGTGTAACCCATTACTCATATGTTTGTGGTGATGCTGGTGTATAAAAACCTATATGCTGACAGTCTTATAAAAATCTAGCACATACAATGATGTAGAGTATAGAATATTTGATAATGATAATAAGCAACTATTACTGGTTTACGTATTTACTACTATACTATACTATACTTTTTGCTGTTTACACTGTACCCTTCCATTTATTTAAAAAAAAAAAAAGAGTTAACTGTAAAACAGCCCCAGGCTGTAATAATTCTTCAGGAGGTAAACAGAAGACATTGTTATCACAGGATATGACAGTCCTATGTGTGTTATTGCTTCTGAAGATCTTCCAGTGGGAAAAGATGTGGAGGTGGAAGACAGTGATATTGATGATTCTGACCCTGTGGAGGCCTAGCTAATATGTGTGTTTGTGTCTTAGTTTTTAAGAAAAAAATTAAAATGTAAAAAAATAAAATTTAATAGAAAAAAACTTAAGAATAAGGATATAAAGAAAGGCTTTATTTTTGTACAGCTGTACAATGTGTTTGTTTTAAGCTAAGTATGATAACAGAGTCAAAATGTTAAAAAATAAAAGTTTATAAAGTAAAAAAATGACAGTAAGGCAAAGTTAATTAATTTTGAAAAAATTTTTTTCAATAAATTTAGTGTGGCCTAAGTGCACCGTGTTTATGAAGTCTACAGTAGTATATGGTGATGTCCTGGGCCTTCACATTCACGCACCACTCACTAACTGAACCTCCCAGAACAACCTCCAGTTCCTTAAGTGCCCTATACAGGTATATTTCCTTTTATCTTTCACACTAGTATTATTTTAACCTTATCTTTTCTACGTTTAGCTATGGGTAGATATACAAATACTTACTATTATGTTTTAATTGCCTGCAATATTCAGTACAGTAACATGCTGTACAGGGTTGCAGTCTAGGACCAACAGCTATACAATATAAAATAACTGTGTAGTAGGCCATTCCTAGGTTTGTGTAAGTACACTCCATGATATTCCCACAATGTTGAAATTGCTGAACGACATTTCTCAGAACGTATTTCTGTCACCAAGTGGCCTGTGACTGTACAGAATACAGGAGCACTGAACATTCAAAATGGGGCTAGTGTTATTGAGGGAGTAAATTTTTAATTGTATCTTGTTTCATTAATTTAAATTGAAACAGCCACATGTGGCCAGTAGCTATCACACCAAATACCACAGATATAAAGAATTGGTACTTATGAAAAAATACTTTAAGGGATTCCTGTAGTTCTCTTAGAAAAAAATTCAGCTTGTGACTTTATATTTATTATTTTACAGGCCCAAGAACACCTCATTATGGAAAAATGATGACTCAGCAGGCTTTGCACAACGTCATGTTTGAAGGCTGTTAAACAATATGTAACTCAAATATTAGCTAACTATGCAGAACTGATACCAATTTAAGCATTTTACATTGACAACTATAATAAAGGATGTCTTTTTGGAATAATAATCTTATTCAGACTACACTCTTTCAGCTATTTGTTAAGACTTTTGTGTTCCCAATTACAAATGAAAAGAATAATAATGGCGTGCCAGTCTCATTAAGCCATGGGGTACAACAACCCTCTCAGGCAAACTATAAATTATAGTTGGCACAAGACCTCTGAGTATGCTAGAAAATCAGCCACAAAGTGTGCCATTGTGGTGCCAAGTGGTGGAATCCTGAGAGTGGGCAGCTAAAGGTGCTCCAAATGAAAGAAGGGGAGCAATGGATGCTGATTCTACCAGACACTGGCAATCCGTGGGGCCATCATGTCCTGGAACACAGCATTCAGTGCTATCTCCTACACCCAAATGTGACTTGCAGAAATGATTCCATGATGCCTCACTGCCATGTGTAAAGCTAAATAATCAGCATGCTCACATTCATGGCTATATTTAGTGGCTGAGGGACAACCAATTCTTCAAGTGTCCAAGGTGGCCTGGAGCAGTTAAAGGTGTCACTTCTTCCACCTCTTGAGGAGGATGGTAATCTAAGGCAACTCCTCCATCACTAGTTACCTCCCAGCTGCTGAAAAGAGGTCAGCAAAGTCCCTGTGTGCTGGGAACTTGAGTTCCTTCAGTGCTGGGCACAATTTTAAGACATGCTGACAAGCTGAACTTATTTCAGAGACAGGACTATCTATATTCTGAGTTTTAACAGAAATGATTTAAAAAGTGAGTTGAGAGTTTTGGAAAGCCATATTTTTTTATTCTATATTTGGTACTATGTGTAAAACATTCAATTTATAAAATATTTTATTTTAGAAAGCCACCACCCACACCTCTAAACAATAGACATTTGTTTGCACTAGGTGTTCTTGAGACAATTATAGAAACTGGATTACTCAGTATCACTTTCATTTCATATTGACAAGTACTCACTTCTCATCAGTTTGCTTTGCATTCCTTTGCAAATACCTATGTTTTCCTCATCGGCACTGTTTTGACCCACTGATTTTATGGTAGTGTCCAATTTCTAAGGAGATAATGGCAACCATGTATGAATATTTAAGACTCAGTCTTGAAAGAGCAAAGCATGAGACATGGTCTCTAGGAATGTACCATATCTGAAAGAAGGCTACATGTGGAAAAAGTCTCAGTAAAAGATGTATGAAGATGTGAATTTTTACCTATGATGTGACTCTGAAATACAGACTCTGCAACTGCATCTTCTTCATCCTCTTGTAAGTTTTCATTTCCCTCTTTTATCTGCAGGAAGAATAAAATGCTGCAAGTTCTTATTCGTTTTATTAAATAGATATTTTTGCAATCCACAGAGTAATGATACATTCTATAACAAATATGTGGGCATATGTGTGTGTTTGCATGTATATACATGTGTATGTGCACATACATATACATATATATTTTTCATTCCACTTTTCTCCACTCCATCATTTGGCTTTGTTACAAGTTTTAATTAATAAGAGCATATTTTCAGACATATAATCTAATCTCTGAAGGAGAGAATTTACAGGGTATCTAATTCTACACAAAATTTTAGAGATAATAGCTTTGCTTTTTAATACTTGATAAAATCAGTAACACAGGGCAGTTAGGAAAAATTCAAGTCTAAGGAGGTATAATTCCTCCAGAGTCAGTGACTTCCACTACAAGTGATTTTAATAAGAATAAAAATATATACTTTAAATATACGTGGATCTCCTGGCTTTTTCCAGGAATGTAACTAAAAAGATGATTTTTAAAAATTCTTCCCATAATGAAAGGAGATGACAATGATGTATGTATGATCAGTGAACTAGAGCAGTGAGTCATTTATCTAGATTTTTTTCAAGCCAAAAACATTCCTCCTTATATTTCGGTTGGAAGGCCCAGACGCTTGATTGGGCAGCATCAAACGGAACCGATACAGAATTTAATGAAGTCTCAGTATTTTACAGATGAGAATCCTGATGTCCAGAAAGTTTCCTTAAAGTTGGCACAAATGTAGTAAGTGGCAACACTGGCATGAAAGCCCAGGTCCCCTACTTCCCAATCCAGTAGCAAGAGAAGTAGGAGCATCAACAGCAATACCAACCACAATAAAAACAGTGAACACCTACATACTGTGTGGCAAGTGCTGTTCGCAAGTAAGATCTTAAAATCCTTACAACAGTGCTATGAGACGTGTACTATGGTTAGCTTTATTTTAGAGATAGGGACCTATCCCAGAGCAACAGAGAAGGTAATTGTCGAAGTGGTGGCACTGAGATTTAAACACAGCAACCTTACTCCAGATTTGTGTTTACTGCGGGGACCTTTGTTATTCTCAAATTTCCACTTGAATATGCCTGTGTAGACTTGGCCTGAATATCAAGACAACTTGGGGGAATGATCCTATGTAGCTCTTTTAAAATACATTCCAGCCAGTCACCAAGCAGCCAATGATAATAATGTGCAATGCAATGGGTGCCCTCGTTAGGCACGTACATTAGAGATTGCCGGTGGATTTACTGCAGGGCTTAGTTGAATGCCAATAAATTATTATTTTATACTCACAATGTGAAAGTTGTATGGCTGCATACTGACCTTGAGCTGGATTTAACTTTCTGCTTTTGCCTCCTATTTTTCATACTTAATGGAATAAGACCAATTATTTACATTTTATGACTGCAGTTTCAATATTAGAATGTAATTGGTGCTTAATCTGTACCATGCTGATAGCCAGAGATGGCAAACTCAAGACAGTATGGAGACGGCTAACTCAACCCTGGCAAGGAGAGATCGTTAAGGGTTCAGTATCAAGAGGCCATGCTTCATCACTTTCTTTCCCCTTTAGCTGTCTAATCTGTGGGCATTTCCCTGTTGTTTAGAAACTCCACAGGAAGAAAGTCAGAGAATGAAAGAAGGCAGGAAAAAAGGGCTTCATTAACTGACTGTGTTCCTAGCAGTATATATTTACAGATGGCAGAGAGGAACCTCACTCTCACTCTGAGTATGAAAAAGACCAAAGTACTGCTTATTTGCCTTCCAAGGTTCTCTTTGCTCAGGGATCTGTTTGTGACAAGGTGACCCAAAAGCCCCCAAACACCTTAGTTTCCATTAATAATCCATTGGGAGCCTTTTCTCCTTCTTTATAGAAACAACAAGGAAATCATATTTTCAGTTTCATATCACCTCTTATGACAGTATGTTCCATATTTCCCCCATGTGTTAATGCAAAATAGTATTTCCTTTGGGTTTTTCTAAATTTACACATTTTAAACTTGCAGGGGTGCCCTTGAAACCTGTTGGACTGTGAATAAATCATCATTTCTGTCAGCCTATGAAATTCTAAACAAAAGAATCAAATAATTAGAATAAAGTTTTTATTTACAGATAAAGGAAAAGAGGCTCCAGAGAGGGTTAATAATCTATTCAAAGTCACACAGAATTTCCGTTGTCGAATAGGCACTCCTGATTCCTATCCGTTGCCATAATTCAATTTTTCAGAGTGTCTTGTCCTGTTACAGCTCTCCTTTCCGGACCTTCAAAAAAACTAGCCTGACTTTCTTAGTGTCTTCCAGTTAGATTTGAAGGCAATATTCCAAGTATCCACAAACTATATTTTAAGAGTAGTAAACATTTTCTCTGTGTGTGTGTGTAATTTTCTGCTCTCCTTCCATTCTGTTCCCTACCCCTTCTGTGGCCCTTCTCCACCTCCTTCCTCTAATTATTGTATTTAAGAAAGCAAACAAAAGCTACTGCCCATTTCTACCTGTCAGCCCCTTGCTAGAACCTTTCCAGGGCTTTATGTACTTAACAGCAAATGCTAAACATGGTCTCTTGGGACTTATAAGAGGAACTGGGATGGTGAACAAGGCCCCTGGCTCTTTCAGCTCTCCTGCGCTGGATGACCCATGAGGGACTGATGACTCATGAGGGGGAAATTGTGAACTTGAAGGGGATGGATGAAGAAGCAGCAAAAAAACGGAAAGTAGGGGAGTGCTTTAGAGTGACATATGTGTCAGTTCTAATTATCTATACAAATAGATTTCAATGCAAAGTGGTGAGTAATTTTAAAAAATCTATTTGCCTATGCAAATGAAGGACATAATTTATTTTGGCAGCAGATTCCACTTGCTAATTATATTTTTCATAGGATAAAATTTAAATTAATTTTCATTCTTGATCCCATAGGAGCTGGATGTTGGTGGAAAGTTGTGGGAGCTTTCCTGGGAGTAAGGGGAGGAATTTGCCAGGTCAAGTATTTGCCAAAAATAGGCACAAGTGGGAAAGCCTCCATGTGGGAAAGCACTGCAAAGAATGGGGGTAGACAAAAAAACAAGAAGTCTGGCAAGCATTTGGCTCAGAAAAGACTAATGGTTAGAAATTTAGAAATGTCTCAGTAATTTCTGCTGCCCAAGGAACAGAAACAAGTTCATGTCAGTTACGTCCCATTTGATAAAAAGTAGAAGCTTACTCACAAGCAGCAACTACGGGCTGTTTTGGGTTTAAGTTAGTTGCCAGTGCTTTGGTTGTCTTCTAATGATTCATCCCTAACTCTTGTTCATCTTGTGGGGCTCTGCAGTTCTATTCGGGAACTACTCCAAACACCAGTCTATAACAGGCAACAATTAAATATCACTGTACCCCTATTTTATTAACCCCTCTTCCTAGGAAGGCCAGGAACAAATGTGCTTACAAGAGATACAGGAGGAAAAGGGGAGAAAATAATTCATCATTGATATAATTTCATCATTAAGCCCAATTTTTAGAACATCCTTCATTTGGAGTTCCATACATATTCCTTCTCTGAATCATCCTAACACTAACAGCTTCCCAGGAAACCAACATTTTGATGTCAAAGCTCATTCGAACAGGAAAAGAACATAGTGAATCTAAGTGAGACAGGAAATAATCCTGGGAGAGAAAACTCCTGGAAGGCATAACCTTTGGAAAAATTAGTCATTTAGAAACTTTGCAGGCGGAGGGCAAAATATGCATGCTTCTTATTAGCATCAAAATACCATTTAGAACAGAACTGTTCAATTAAGGATGTTAAAATTATAACATTTCGCGGAACTTAATAAGATGATAACAATTTGTGTAATTATTGTACTATTTTTTGCCGTTTTATCACCACAGTACCATTCTAATGGGATAGTATTTGATGCTTTTTTATTAGCAGACATGATCTTTTTTTTAGACTATGTGACACTGGGTGAGGAGAATACCCATAATTTAAATTAAAATACCCATTCTAAAATGGTCATATTAAAATGGTTCATGATGAAGGTATATGATATCATTAATTTTGTTAACGATTTTTATTTTTGTCCAGTGATAGTTAAATAGGAGCCTAGAGATGTCTTTCTTTGAAATCTTTCATTTCAGAAAATTATCTAAATTCACAGGAAGGAAGAACTTACAACATGGAGTAGCATAGTGTACCTCTTTCTGACTTATTCACTTAATACCAAGCAATCTTTCTGAGATACCTGTTCCCTATTTTATAATGATTTTATATAATTTAAATAAAAGTACCAAATAACATGGCCCTTGTCTAAATTACACAAAATTAGAGCTCAGTGGCTTATAAATGATGGCAGAAATGGGGCCATCTAAGACTCTGAGACTCTGAAATGAGAAATTCAGCAAAACATTAATGGGACTTTTAAACATATTTTAGAATGTTTCTAGCAATACGAAAAATGAATACGCAGTTACTAGTGAACTAAGTGGAGGCTCGCTACACATGTGGATTTGTTATATGTATGAAAATAATCTTTCTACTATCACTATATATTTGAATACTAAAAATGCCTTACGACTCTCATAACTATATATCATCTTAGTTTGCAAAGAACAAGAGATGGTGGTATAGCATGTCATCAGGTTTTTCAACAGTGGTTTTATTCAGATAAAAGCGTAACGTAATGCATTGCATATAGACATTGTTTTCATCAAAAAAAAAACTGCTATGAAAAAAATTCTTTGCAACACACTTTAAAATAAGCAGACAGCAAATTTACCTTGAGCCCTAGTAGGGGGAAATTCCCTTCAACTCTGAATTTTAAAAGGTTCATGGGTATTCACATCAACGTGCTGTGGGGTTACAATACATTTCGTTTTGCATCTAATCTCCTTCCTATATAGGCCAGTAACATATAATAAATGAGTTTTCACTCCTATTTTTGTACTAGTCCCAAAGGAGTCTATAGTAATGTCCTTTCTGAAATTAGTAATTTTAGCCCAATCCATGCTGATGATTATAGAGATGAAACAAAAAGCATTGCATTTTAGATTTTAAAAAATGACTAGTTGGTCAACTATCCAGGTTAATAACATTTCTCTGCATGGAAAAGCTTCTCAGCATGACTAATTTGTCTTGGAGCTAACTAGAAAAATTACCATAGCTCTATTGATTACGTATATGTGGGGTCGTTAGGGAATTTTTGTATTTCACAGAAAATAATAAGAGTGTTTCTTGCAGATATTCTGGAAAGACCAAAGGACCCTGTGAAAGACTGCAGATAAGAGAGGAAAAGCATGGCAAATAACTTTAGCATTAGGAAGTAATAAGAAAATAAAAATGAAATTGTGGAAGCCAAATGCAGAGTCTTTTTGTTTTTTTAGTACTTCTGTGCAGTGAAGATATACCCTAAGCTGTCAGGACCATATTAAATGGGGCATAGTTAAATTGAGTGCCTCTGATAAGGGGCTCTGCCAGGCTATCAAAGTTTTCCATCAGCTGGATTGAATTTCCAGCATATTGCACATTTTCACACATTCATTCTCTCCTTTTCCTTTCAGTGACACTACAAGGGCAGCCTTAGATACGCTTATAATTTGTGGTTTTATAATGCAGGAGACATCTATGTTTTCAAAGTAGGGATGATATCATGGAAGCCAAGAGAAGAAATGGTGTGGGGGAAAGACAAAAAGAAAGTTTGCACTGAACATAATCTGCATATAATTTTGGAGAGTTTATTAAAAAAAGACCTTACGGCTCTGTAAAGTCAAGAGCTATTTGAATAAAAAAAATTAATCATCTGTTTCTCTCAAATTAAAGTATACAAAACTCGAAGGAACTCTAAACCTCAATAAGGTTTAGAGCTAATAATTAATAACTAATAATGTCAACTATGGTCACTTTAAAATCTCTTCTCTCGAATGACTCCAGAAAATAATGCATCATTACCTCATATTTAAAGTTTTCCCTCAGAAAATGGTAGCATGTACTATATTTTTATAATCTCTTTATGAGAGTACAAAAAAAATATGGATATAGTAATTCCATAAAGAGATTTTTTTGTGTGTTTAGCTGCTCTGAAAAGGAACAATGTTTACCAAAAGGAACAATGAATACTATCAAATCATTTATACAAGTACGTAAAGAATGTAAGGAGAATAAATGTAATTTAAGGTAATTTTAAAACAAAAATATTAACTGAAACTAGTACACCCCAGGAAAATATAAAAATACTCCTTCATTTATTTTTTAATTTTTAAAAAGAAGTCTATTCCCTGAGTTCTGAACCTCACAATAGTCTAAATGATAGGAAGCCAAGTTCCAAAAAAGATTTCTTAGCCTTAACCGCCTCTGTCTAAGTTGCATGAATTGGTACATACAACTCCCATAAAACATGAACAATGCTTAAATCAAATCATCACCACAGGCAATACTCTCTTAAATTGTCTAGCACTTTTATTTTTAAAATCACATTCGTTCCTTTTTGCTTGCTGGTGATATTAGAAATAATCATCAAAACAAACTTCCAGCCCAATGGTATAATTTGAAGATGATGCTGGTAGCATCATTTGTCTGGACTCATTGCGATTATCCTCATCGTCCTGAAAACAGCTGGGAAAAGTGGCATTTCCTGAGAGCCAGGCCCACTCAAGGTCCAGCTGCTAGCTCTCTGCTGCAATTGTCACCAGGATTTCTCTCTCTTTTTAGAAAACCTTTTTCACTGACCTTTTCTTTCCCCCCACTGCAATCTCTTACCCACACATTTTCATTAGCAAACGGTAGAAAGAGCTCAGCCAGAACATCTCAGATTGAAGCACTTGATACCAGGATGGTAGAGCACTTACCAGGGAATCTTCTGATACTTCCATATCGGCTTTGATTTTCATGTTTTTCTTGTGATTTCCTTGAGTGTTGATAGAGCTGCCGGTGAGACAGGAACCCTGAGAACTGCCCTTTAACACATTCCTGCAGGAAGCATTACTTGATCCACTTTCTGTCTGTGGAGCTGCTTTCTTATCAACTCTGCAGGTAGAAAGTGATTCCTCTGATAAGTTACCTTGTTCTTCTTCAATCACTCTCCTTTTCCCAATCTTTTAATATTTAAAGTAACCTCCTTGTAGCTCTTTGTCTTTAAACCTTTGAAGGATAAGTGTTTCTCACGGGCCTTTATCAAATCTTCAAATATTCTAGTAGTGTGTCAGTTTAGATTTGACAATATAATAACGTATTTTTTATTTTTATAATTACTTGTGGAGAGGGGCAAAATAAAAACCACTGAAGAGTGATTACTAAATACATTTTTAGCTTAAGAGGGTAAGAAGTATAATTATTTCTGGAATGTTTCCAAGTATATGTTTGCTAGGTATAATCAATGAAAACCACATGCTTTAAAACGTATGTGTAATTTTCTTCCATTTCATGCCATCTGGGTACAGTCACAGTTCCTAGTGTAGGTTGAATTCCTATCAACCCTAATAAAACTTACCATTCTTTAATTTCAAAGACCATTGGTTTGGTTAACAAAGTAACATGGACTAAATTATCATTTTATTGCTACCTTTTATTTCATTGTTTAAATTCTGGCTAATGTACAAAAGACTGCTACTATTCATTTCTGCTTGTATGAAAAACACGCTTGACTGGCATTTAATGCACAGGAAGCAAACACTCCCTTTAAGGTGGTGGAGGGACCCCTCTACATTGCTACCTGCTTTTCCAGTTAGTTACCTGTTCAAGAGTTCCGTCATGAAGGTGTCTTTTGTTGAACATGTAACAGGGCTGTGTCTCTTCCTTGGTTCAAACTCCAGTTGGCTGTAAATGTCTTGTGGTGTTTTCCGATTACTTTTGCTTTGTAAACCGCTGACCGGATTATCTGCTGACTTGGAGTCCTTGATAAGCTCATTTTCTATCTCACACTGTAGTTCAGGCTTCTTTTTCTCTTTTTTTCTTTCTGATTTTAGTTGCTTGTTTCCAAACCCCAAGACTTTTGCATCTTTCTTTTCCACTTTGGTTTTGGAGACATCCATTTTCCTGCTACTGAGAGCTGGAAGTCTACTCTTCCGAAAACCAAACCAGCTGGCAAAAGAAGGCCCAGGCTTCTGCTTCGCTTCCACAAAGGTGGGCTTTATTTGTACTTGGCCCTTTTCCACATTTTCCTGAATGCACAACATGACCTTTTCTTCGATTGTGGGTGAGAGGGGGGCTTCTGAATTCACAGCATCAGTCACGGTTGCAGAGGCATCTGGATGCCTTCCAGAAGTTTCTAGCTTGGATATACTGCTTGTTTCAAAAGTACTTGGATGCTGGGTCCTGCCTGGGATCTGCAGGGCTTCAGGGAAGGCTGCTGGGGTGGGTGGGCATCTGTGGCAATCACCGTCTGGTTCCCCAAGTACAGCCACACTGGGGCACTCTCCTTGGGCGTAGGCCTGCTGATCTTCCTTTCCAAGTGGGGTGAGGAGTCCTTCGGTCTTTGGAAGGACCCTCAAAGGCAACTTGCTTGGGCTCCCATGCTGACTGGTAGAGCTGCCGGAGCTCCCCAAGGAGCCCTGCCTGGAGGAGGGGTGCCCCAAGGGCCTCCCAGCACTGGGGAGGCTCTCCGACATGGGAGCAGAAGGGACCTTGTTGGGAGAGCTTTCTGTGGAAGAGTTCTGCCGGGTAAGAGAATTGCCTCTCTCAGCAGTATTGGTAATGATCTGAGTTCGGACTTTGCCTGACCCTTCCATGGGGGGCGTGGAAGGCTTGTCTCCTGAGTGTGTGCTGAAGCTCTGGCTACGGGCCTTGGCACCATTCATGCCTAGAGCTGGTTTTAGGTGTGGTTTGCTAGAGGAAAGGGATCTTTTCATGGATCTATTATCTACCCTGTCCCTTCCATCACTCCCAGGGATGCTACTTTCCAATGACTCTTGTAGTGCTGTTTCCAGGGGAAGCCCCTCAGCTAAACTGTCCTGTGCCTGTGAGTCCGGCATGGTCACATTACTTTCGCCTGCTGTGGTCTCCACGCTTGCTGGATTCTTGGAGTTGCCTGGCTTAGACTTGTTCACAGCCACAGAACTTTTGGAGGCCTCATTTAAACTGTCTTTTTCGTGTTTCCCTGGCACGGTGGAACTTTTCCTGAGCAGCTGGGGAGACTTGATGAGAACTTTGAGTCCCACTGGAAGGCGAGTTTTCAGTCCTTTCTCATGAGCACTTTGACAACCATGAGAGCTGTTATGGCTTTTGGAGGGTGATGATGACGATGAGGGACTGCTGACCTGAGATGATGGTGACTCATTTACCCCTAAGAAGGAAGGCTTGGGGGATGTAGAGGCTCTATCATTCAATTGTCCTTTTCTCACTGGAGATATACTTTTGGAGGATGTTATTTCCAGTGGCTCATGGGTTGAAGGAGAATTCCTGGGAGTCTGTAATCCTGCATCCATCTGTGGGGTCCCAAGTGTTTGACGAGGAGAGGTTTTGGGGACACCTCTCTTTGGAGAGACTTTTGGAGGCCCCAGGGCCATTACGGTGAAGGAGCTGGAGGGGGCATGAGCAGGGCATCTGGTTTGAATTACGGCTTCTGGGGAGGGCATAGGGTGAGTGAAGACAGGCTTTTTGAAAGCCACAGAAGGTTTCTTCCTCTGCACTTCTGCTGTGGCCTGATTAGACGAAATAACTGGAGCAGAGGTTCCTTTCAGCAGAGGGGATTTGAATGGGGTCCTTGCTATTTCACTGGGGAGCTTGGTTTCAGACTTTGTGGATGAAGGCGCTGGTGAATAGTCATAGCTGGGTCTGGCCAGCAGGGAGACGGACCTGCCTGGAGGGGGCGGAGGAGAAGGGGATTTCGCCCCTGCCTTGAGCCCAGAGCCACAGTGCTCGTCCCTCGTCGGGGGCTCTCCACTGTCATTAGACTCAATGTCAGGCCTTGACCGTGACCCTGGAGTCTTGGGGCACTGGACCCAGTCCCTCCTGCTGGGCATTCTGGAGCTGTGCGGAAGTTGGGTGGGATGTTTTGGAATGTGTGGATCTGGTCGTAATTCAAAGAGGGGCCCTGGGGTCTCAGTCTTCATGAACCGTGTGAGTTTCCCAGGTGCTAAGGCTGGTGGTTTTTCAAGAGTCACCAGGCCAGATGAGGGGAGTAGTGCGGTGGCCTCAGGTTCCATTAATTTTGATTTCTGAAGTGAAGACTTGCCCCTGGCAGGTATTTTTGTCAGATTTTGCTTTTGATAGATGCCCACGGGGGCCGAAGACCTGGAGTGACTCTGGCATGATACAGTGTGCGTTGGTTTGACCAGCTTTTGCTGCTGAGAACTTTGTGTCACTGTCCTGGAGCTGAAAGATTCAGTGGACACCCTGGAAACATTGTCTACATGATCTTTTGGAATGTTTTTCTCAGTGTCTTCTTCAGACCTTTTTAAGAAAGTATAGTCTCTTGCAGCAGCTCCTGGCTGTAAACAAGCAATTCCCTGAGGTAAAAGTTCAGTACGTTCTGCCTTGGGTCCAGTAGGAGCTGAATTGATGGAAATTTCCTTTCTGGTAACAGTGACAACTCCAGTCTGGTGAGAGCTAAATTCAATGGGCTCACCATCTTCCGCATCAAATATCACAGTAATACATTCTTCTGAGGAAGTCCTTTTTACAACTCTTTGCTGCTTAATGAAACTAAACGTCTTTGGCCTAGTCTCTGAAGGGATGGGCACTTGTTTTTCCTCCTCATCAGGAGACTCAAATAGAGATTTTCCAAACCCCACAAGGACATCCAGGTTCTCCATGGACTTATCGGTGTCAGCAGCCAATGACACATCTGAAGGACTTTTCTCATCGCTGCTCTCTATGTGCAGCTCATCGAGCATTTCATTATCTTCAGTGTCTGAAAGCTGGATGTGGAGAGCCAGGCGGCCGTGGCCTTGTGGTTCCCTCTGTACCTGAGGCACCTGCACACTTGGGCACAGCTTCCTCTCCGAAGGACAGCTGCTGGCACAACTTGTCAGCTTTTCAGGCCTTTCCCTGGGATAAACTGAGGGTGTGCCTTCCAGAAAGTGTTTTCTATTCATCTCCCAGCCAAACAGACTGTCAGAAACACTGTGGGTTAATTTACTGCCATGTGGCCTGTAGCTCTGGTTTGGAACCGCTTGGAGCAACGCTAAGGTGGAGGAGTCATCATCTGCATCATCGTGGGAATCTAGATCATAAACAAATGTCTTGTGGGGCTCCTTGCAGGGGCTCCCTGGGTCAGCTGCTTTGCAGGGGGGATACTCCTTGAGGCTGCTACTTTTAATTCCTGGAGAATATATTCCTTCATTCGAGTTCATGCAGTCTTTATAACCCCATTTGGTTATCAATGATGGGGGTTCAAGTAACACTTTTCGCTTCTGTAGCTTTCTTAGCCCTTCCAAAATGTGGCTTTCCTTGATACGAGTTGGAGGTAGTTCATTTGTAGGACTAGCAAAGCCACTTGGGAGCGAAGAATCAATACTTAGCCTTTTATCCCAGTTTTGTGATGATTGCTAGGAAAGAAAAGTAGACATCAGAAATGATTGAACCACGTAGATCACAAATATATAAAAGGAAAAGTCCATCATGGGACTTAATTTGTACTAGTGGTTGATAAGTATTTACATATAAATGCCTACATTAATTAGCTAATTAATTTATTCACAAACTGTGCAGCAAACATTGATTTTGCCAGGTCCTGTGCTAAGCAGCACAGTAATCTAAAGAAATAGAAGGTAAAGACCCTGTCTTCATGGAGCAGAGATCCCAGCAGGGGAGAGGAAACTGGCCATAACTAACTGTATGTCGAGGGAGAAAACAAGAAGTGCAAATGTCGTAGGTACTCTGGAGATTCAGAGGAGGGAGGCCACAGACAGGTCTATTTGGAGGAAGGCATATAGAAAAGGTATATATATATTTTCTTTTAAACTTACCTGGCTCTTGAAAGACAGACAGGTTTGCCTTAGGTTAAAGTGGGGGAAATGATTTCCAGGTGGGAGAAATGGGATGGACAAAGACCTAAGTCAGAAGGGACATTCAAGGTACATTGAAGTAATGACTAAAAGATGATATGGCCTTATTGTCGAGTGTCTACAAGAGGTACAGAGGGTAAAGCTGGAAAGGTAAATTAGTCCATATCTTCATACTCACATTTGATAGTTCTATGACTTCATGACTTTATTGGTAGGCAATGGATATCTATGAAAATTTTAAGCTACCACACACACACACACACACACAGACACACACACAGACACACACACAGGCACACAGACACACACACACAGACACTCACACAGACACACACACACAGACACACACACAGACACACACACAAACACATACACACAGACACACACACACAGACACACACACAGACACACACACACACAGACACACAGACACACACACACAGACACACACACACACACACAGACACAGATACACAGCAGCTGGGCATTTGCTGTTAGAATCTTATAATAATTATTCACCTACCAAATTTAGAAGGGTCAATTTCCTGCCAGTCACCCTTCCCAAATGCCAGCCTCAGCTTTGGAAAAGTATATGGGAAATGGCATAGAGAAAAGACTGTGCTCTACATATTCACATTTTTTTCATAGTATTGCTAATAAGAAATGGAAGGGCAAAAAAAAAAAAAAGGGTGCTAACATTTACTGAGCTCCTGTTGTATACCAGCCGTTTAGAGTGCTTTCATTCCATCTTCATAACAGGCACTCCATCTTCAGAGACTCATTGATGGGTCTGTTGGAGATCACACAGAAAGCGCTGGAGCAAAGGTTTGAACTCTGGTTTCTGAGACTCCTTCTACAACACTGTCAATTTCGACTCAGTTCAAAAGTGGCTGTGAGAGGACATGACTGCCTGGGCAGTCTTGCTCTGGAGCCTGCACTCCTAATCGATGCTATACTACTAAATCAAGCTCAGCCCCTTTTCTTGCCTCTACCTTAGTCAGTGTCATAATAGAGATCACAGGTTACCCACACTATTTCTTAAACGGTACTTACAGAGTATAGGGGGCTGACCTAGTGACTTCTTAAGAAGGCTATATGATTAATGGTAAAGAGCTTCAAGAAAAGGATCTGGGTTTCAGAAGTGCACTCTATACCAGTTTTGGCTACATCAGTCTCCTCCTTTCCCCACACGCTTACGTGTAGAGGTTGAAAAAAAATGTCAGAAACTTCCATTTGAATCTGGGCTTTTTAGTACACTGTAAACATTTGCTTACATTGGAGACATTTTCATGAAAATTATTCTCGTTATCAACAATGCACACATGTATTTGTTCTTAAATCAAATTATAAATTTTCTTTAGAAAATTCTCCACTGTCAGAAATTGCTGGCAGTAGATGCTGTTTGGTGATGCTGCCCCAGTTGCTCTTCCCTGTACTCCTTTAGAAATCAGAAGAAATCCCATTAATGAATCTGGGTATTACAGGTCCACCAGAGAGCAGCTGCCATAGTGTGAGTTTCTAAGAATTTCCATGATTCTGATAGTCATATTGACAATAAATAAGAGAAGCCAGGCCAAAGTTCCTCACAAGAGCTTGAAAAAGGTAGATCTGTCTGACCCTCAAGAAGACATGCTCAGCCTCCTTTCTGCCTTTCTGGAGCTTGTCCTGTGCTGCATTGTGACTTGCCCCAGAGTCAGCAGCTGCAAACCTCCCAGGGCCCAGGCTCTCTGCCCAATGAGATTAGTTACATTTCTCCTTCAGTCCTACATAGGAAGTTATAGCATTTAATAACTGGAGAAAAGTCTGGACCAGTCTTGATGCTTGGGGGTAGGAGAGGCATGAAGGCCCTGTGGGAGTGATGGTGGGGAAGGGCTGGCATTTCTCACACGCAGATCTCTCCTTTGCTGCAGAAGGTGGAAGAGAGTTGCTCTCAGGAAGCAGTGTGGTTGGCTAAAAGACGCTACTGCTGAGGTGCAGGCCTGTGTTTAATGCCCATAGTCCTATTTCTTACCTGGACAAGAGTCTTATAATTTCTTTTTTCTAAAGGGTGTTCTTAGTTTTAATGGGAGCAAATTGATCTCAATAACTAAAGCAACCTTTCCATGTTTGAGGCTGATTCAACAAGGCCAGTATAACAGAACAATTAAGAGTGTGGGTTCTGGAACCTACTGCCAGGCTCTGCCATGTACTGCCTGTGGGATCTTGGGCCAGTCACTTAACTTCTTAGCACCTCAGTGTCCTCTTCTGTGAAATGGGGAGAATAGGAGAGCCTGTTTAATAGGCGATTGGGAGCATTACATGATCTAATGTTCCTGAAGTCCTTAAAAGGCTGTGCTGCGTATGGTAATTTCTCATCAATTAGAGCTGAATTCCTCAGTAGGGCAGGCTAGTGCATTTCATGCAGGCTTCCTTTCTGTTTCTACACAAGTATTTAAAAAAACATATTTGTGAGCTCAAAAAGTGCAATCAATCACATATTGTTATATGAGTTAATATTCAAATTCATATGCTACAAGTTAATTATGTAAGTTAATACTATGCGAGTACCAGCACAAGGTAAGGAACTGCAGGAGTTTCTTCAGTAACACACATTTCAAATGTCTTCATGAATCTGGGTCTGGGTTGCGAGGTCCCTGAGAAACAAGACTGTTCACTGTGAGATGTGATAGGTACTCCATGACTATGCCAGAGCCTTATTAAGGATCCAGAGAAGAGCCACCTGAGTGTCCATGAAGCGCCTGCCTTAAGAACCTTCTTTCTGCTCATTCAGGGGAGAGATTGCCTTAGGACATTAAAAACTACTGTAATTGGAAGAATTCCAGCCAAAAAATGAAAGAAAGTGAAAAGGCTTTGAGAGGGAGAGAGACAAAGAGGTGTGAGAGTGAAAACAGCAGAGGGAGGGGCCCTGGGAGCCAGTGATATTCACAACGTGAGGAAACATCCCTGACCATCTTTACAGTCTGTTCCGAACTAGGCCCTGAGTGCTCATTATTCAGAGCGCCTAACAGCTCCTTAGAGGGAACAATTTTGATAATGCGGCACGCTCTGTACTTTGCATTGGAAGCCTGAGTCCAAGGGAATAAGCCCTAAATGCAAACTTGAAATCTTCTTCTGAGTTCTTGTTCAGAGGACGACAAAGCTATTCCCTCATCAATATCTCCTGGGAGTTCTGGATTTTTCTTGGTTTCTACACTGCTAAAACCATGAACTAAATTTATACAAATGGTAGAAAAATGACCTCCAAATATTCTGATCTAGGGTTTCTATTCTTGTGTGCTCTTTCCTTTTCTCCAACATTAGGGAATGGATAAAACAGCTATTTCACATATTTCCCTTACATCAGTGTACAGAGAAGTCCACTCAAAGCATGAAGGAATCTCCAGCTGTGTAAGCCCACTGTGCAGATGGGATCAATCTACTAGTAGTAATTGTTAAAAATCCCCGTGGGCCAGGTGCGGTGGCTCACGCCTGTAATCCCAGCACTTTGGGAGCCGAGGCGGGAGGATCACGAGGTCAGGAGCTTGAGACCAGTCTGGCCAATATAGTGAAACCCTGTCTCTACTAAAAATACAAAATATTAGCCAGGTGTCGTGGTATGGGCCTGTAACCCCAGCTAGTCAGGAGGCTGAAGCAGGAGAATCATGTCAACCTGGGAGGCGGAGGTTGCAGTGAGCCAAGATCGTGCCATTGCACTCCAGCCCAGGAGACAGTGTGAGGCTTTGTCTCATAAATAAATAAATAAATAAATAAAATCCTGATAAAGGAACTCTTGGTATTTATATAAGTAGAAATATGCCTACCTACACTGAAGTTGTGGTCTTAGTCATCTCATCACGCTGCCCTCCAATTTATATTCAAATAGTGTTTTATGAGGCTATGGCATGGATGAAAGGAGGTCATTGTAATATATGAGCAGGTACTCAGCAAATGGTGGTTTCCTTTTCTTTTTTTCTGAGATGGAGTCTCGCTGTGTCACCAGGCTGGATTGCAGTGGTGCAATCTTGGCTCACTCCGCCTCCTGGGTTCAAGTGATCCTCTTGCCTCAGCCTCCCTAGTAGCTGGGATTACAGGTGCGTACCACCACACCCAGCTAATTTTTGTTTTTTTCAGTAGAGACGGGGTTTCACCATGTTGGCCAGGATGGTCTTGATCTCTTGACCTCGTGATCTGCCCACCTTGGCCTCTCAAAGTGCTGGGATTACAGGCGTGAGTCACTGCACCCTGCTGTTTTCCTTCTTACCTTCCCAACCGCCCTCCACCTCCATGACCAAATCCTATAAGAAGAGGATCCTTTTCTAGTTCAGCTTGATGCCCTTGTACCTTGAAAGGAGGCCTCACCCTTTTCCTGAGGTTCTTCCCATCGTGCCACGTGTAGGAGGAGCCACTGGAGTACTCGCTGCAGGTGCTTGAAAGAGACAGTTCGCTGCTGCTGCTGTAGCTGTTTCGAGGACAGAGGTGACCAGGGATGACAGTCCCCAAGCCAGGGCATTTCAAGGCCGATTTTGTATTCAGTTGGTGTTCCTGAAAAAGCAGGACAGCTCTGAGCAAGGGCTCAGGTCAGAGGAGAGTAAATATCGACAGAGCCTTATGTGAGGTAAGTGGGAATACAGATGCTCTTCACCTTATGTCAGGGGTACATTCGATAAACCCATGGTAGTTGGAAAGTCAGCTGAAAATGTACTCAATACACATATCCCACAGAACATCACAGCTCAGCCCAGCCTACACTCACATTAGCCTACACTTGGGCAAAATCCTCTAACACAAAGCCTATTTTATAATAAACTGTTGAATATGTCATGTAATTAATTGAATACTGTGCTGAAAGTGAACATCAGAATGGTTGTATGCGTGTTCATAGCACAGTGTGTACTGAATGTGTATTCTGCCTTCCTCATAAAGTTGAAAAATCCTGTCAAACCACCCTCAGCTGGGGATTGTCCGTGTAGTATGGCATCATAGTTAGAAGCAGACTTTGGAGTCAGACAAATCATAGGCTCAAATCTTGGCTCTGCCTCTTACTAACTGTATGGCTATGGGGAAACTATTTACTCTCCTACAGCCACATTTTTATTTTCAAAGAAAATCACGATACTATTGCTTATCTTATAGGGTTATTGCAAGGACTAAATGAGGATCTAGTTGTGAAGCACATCACAGTGTCTGGTCTACAGTAGGTACTCAATTATTACAAGCTGCCATCATTATTAGGCAAAAGTACCACAATGATGGTCTTATTTTATCTAGCCATACTGGTGAGAATATCAGATCAGTATCAAATCCTGACTCTAATGCTACAAAAGGACAAAGACAGAGTCATATCTGACTACAGGGTTCAAGAGCATGCAAACTGGCTGTGAGTCTAATGGTCTGGATCCTGGGCTACCCACTGCCACTAAGCATGCACTGAGCAAGGAAGACTCTGACTTCCATGGACTTTCATGTTCTCTTTTTAGAGGGTGCAGCTCTCTGAGATTTCTGCTACAGTTTCTCCCGGCTCTGATGGCACCATTCTAAGTCAACAACCAGATGCCCATTGCCTATCTGCACTACCTCACAGAAAGCCATGACACCAAACTCAGGTATCATGAGCCTAAGCTACAGATATAACAGGGCTTTTCATATCCTGTCCTTGTTACCACTTGGCTGTCCACATGGTAATAACCCTCATATCAAGTAGATCTGGGTTCTGGCTCTGGGTTCTGAAGATTCAGACTATTAGAATTCCACTGCTTCTGCATAAGACAAGGGTGACAAAGTTGTAAACATCCCAGCACATCTTGACAGCCACATTACAGGCCCCTCATGTAACATATGAAGCGCTACAAACTGGACAGGCTAAATTAATTTACATCCCAAACACTGAGAACAGAATCTCTCTATTACCGTCCAATTCCAGTCTCCTATTTATATAAAGCTTTGTCTCAGAAACTCTTTGATGGGAAGCCATCTGTCTTTCTGTCACTTGCAGAGTGGCAAAGCCTCTTACTTATACAATTTATTGACACTTTATGGGTGCCTTTCAGTACCTGAGTACTTATCACTGTTTTCCAAATGCAATTCCAAGTGACGGTGACTAAAAGCCAGCTTGGGGAAGGAAGGTAATGATGATCCTACAGTACTTGTAGTAAATATTAACCCCCTACATCAGTATATAGGGCATGTTTAATTTACTCGCTAATCAATATCTATAGTGCTTAATAACATGAGATTTTCAGTATTAGGCATCTGCCTTACTATCAATACTTCATCTTTGCTGCATAACAGTCTCTTTAAGTGATCTAAAAATGCCAAGAAGTTTTACTACCCTATTTCTTCCCCCTTAAATTTCGCTCTAAATATCAGTGAAAGGAGAAACTTGTCTTAAAATCAGGCTTTCAGCAATATCTATTGATTTATGACCTCGTTTATTGCCGGATGTAACTTAGTTAAGGAGAGTTCATATTTGTATCTTCACAGATGCTGAAAACCCATGGGTCTGTCGCAGAGCAGCGACTGCCATTTAAGCCTCAGCCCTTGTCAGCACCTGGAATGCGCTCCAAACAAACTTTCAGAAATATCTCAGCAGGCTCCACTTCTACTGCGTGCTTTCTGTTTTCTCCATTCTGTCCTCTCACATTTTGTTGTTTAAGTAAGCAGCGTGGTAGTTGTTATTTAGAGCTGCCTCTGCTCTGAGAGACGTGTCTACTCTCCAGAGAGAGAGAGAGAGAGAGAGAGAGAGAGAGAGAGAGAGAGAGAGACTGTCTGTGGTCCCATGAGGCTGTTCAGATCTAAACTCCAATGGCCTTTCTGCACTCTGCCTGGCTTTGGTTATACTTTAAATTCTACCTTCTTGCAAGGTATTCAGGAAGGCTTGCATGTGATTCTCTTTGCCCTTCCTGCCTGTTCTTCCCACTACATCTATTAAAATTATAGCTATATTTACAACTAAATTCCCAGCCCTCTTTTAATGTAATAAGCACCCTTGCCCACTGACGTCCACAGGTATACCTCCTGTATAGATGCTGGGGTAAGATGACAGGAAACTAGGACTCAGAAGATGGGCTGCAGTAAGAAGGAATTCCTGCTTCTCCCTTGGCCTGAACTTGAGATGCCCTGATGTGATAGCGGATACTTGAGGTAGGTAGAGAAGGCCTGTCACTGTCACATGGGAGCAGGCAGGGGCAAGGGTGGTTAAGCAGAGAGGTGTCCTCTAAGACAGCTTTTCACACTTTAATGTGAACTGAATCACCAAGGGATCTTGTTAAAATGCAGATTCTGATTCAGTAATTCTGAGGTAGGACCTGAGATGTATGTGGTATTTTTAACAAGTTCCCAGGTGTTTCAATGCTGCTATTCTGTGACCCGTGCTTTGCACAACAAGCCTCTAGGAGAAGGTATTAAAGAAGTCTGTCTCTTGTGTGGGTTCCCTAGCAGCACACTGTGGTATCTTGCAGTCTGACATGGGCTGTGCTGAGCCAGACAAAGGGAATGGCTGAGCCTGCCCACAGGCACATGAGTTAGGGAGAGTGTGGTCCTGTACCGGTGGTTACAGAGTAATTCCCTGCAAAGAAGAGGAGGCAGCCACTCTTTTCTACTGGGAAATTCTCCCACCTTCCTCCACCTTGGAAAATCAATGTTTGAACTTATAAGGGATGCTGAATCACTGACATCCTGGCTGCAGACTGAGCTCTTTTTTCCTACAGTTTCCTTCATCAGTATGTGATTATCACATAGGATTATCTATGCCAGTGAATAACTGTTCTGTCATTGAGTACTTGAACTCCAAGGCCATTTATGAGGTTTAAATTCTGGCTTTCACTTGCTAGCTCTTTGAACTTGGGAACATTATTGAACTCCTCTGTGACTCAGTTTCTTTCTTTGTAAATGAAGATAATGAAAGCACCTACTATGTGGGATAATTGTGAAGACTGAGCAGTCCTTGACAAATGCTAATGCTTAGGGACTTTTAGATGGGTGTTGCTGCTATTACTGAAAATGTTATATATCCATATGCGGGGCATGGTGGCCCACATCTGTAATCCCAGAACTTTGGGAGGCCGAGGTGGGCGGATCGCCTGAGGTCAGGAGTTTGAGACCAATCTGGCCAACATAGTGAAACCCCCTCTCTACTAAAAATACAAAAAAAAATTAGCCAGGCATGGTGGTATGGGCCTGTGATCCCAGCTACTTGAGAGGCTGAGGCAGGGGAATTGTTTGAACCAGGGAGGTGGAGGTTGTAGTGAACTGAGATTACGCCAGTGTACTCTAGCCTGGGTGACAGAGTGAGACTCCATCTCAAAAAAAAAATATATATATATATATACACACACACACACACACACACACACACACACGCAAACACACACACACACACACACACACGTGTCTTGGCTCTTCAACTAAGCCATCAGTTAGTTCATGGTTTCCTTGTGGGACCCTGTTTTATACTTCCTGATGCCCTATCATTCTCTGATACCTGGTGCATAAGTGGTAACTGCATTAGGCAATAGCCAAAGGTGGATGCACTTTGTTACCAGGGATCACTGATGTGAGCTTCTGACTTCTGGGGACATGTTAGTAGAGCCCTTTCTCAGGGATCATTTCCACCTTTGCTGTGGTTTGTTGTGGGTGTGGCATAGTACTACATATTAAGAGAACAGAAGAGGGCCAAAGGAACAGAGATCTTATGCGTGTTCCAATATTGTTAGCAGGAACTGTGTACAAACATTTCCTGTGTTATCTCATTTAATCCTCACCACAACTCTCTAAAATAGAAAAGAAATATCATTACCCTCTTTTTCTAAATGGGAAGGCTGAGGCACTGAGGTTTTAATACCTTGCCCAGAGTCACCCCATCAATGTAACATTCTGATGCCCAGCCCAAGTCGGAACCATTATGCCATAATGGCAAGTCAGGCCCCTGACAATGAGCAGAGCTCCCAGAGATACACAGAACCCCATGAATCCCAGTGAGTTCTCATTGGTAATAATGACTTTTTTTTCTGAGATGGAGTCTTGCTCTGTCGCCCACTGGAATGCAGTGACAAAATCTTGGCTCACTGCAACCTCTCCCTCCTGGGTTCAAGCGTTTCTCCTGCCTCAGCCTCCTGAGTAGCTGGGATTTCAGGCACATGACACCATATCTGGCTAATTTTTGTATTTTTTTTAGTAGAGATGGGATTTCACCATGTTGGTTAGGCTGGTCTCAAACTCCTGACCTCATGGTCTGCCTGCCTCAGCCTCCCAAAGTGCTGGGATTACAGGCATGAGCCACTGCGTCCGGCAATAATGATTATTTTAAAAATTCTTCATCAAAAATGCATATTAGCTTTTATTGCAACATTATCTTAATTACGTTGATTTAATAGGCAAAAATACGGTCTTCGGCACTACCCAAAGTGAATTTTTCTCATTGTTTATTTTAGATTACCACTCTGAATGGTTCATATACTTGAAACATTCTTACTGTGAGAAATGCAGTATAACACACTGGGGTCTGTTGGGGGGAAATGGGGGAGGGACGGGGGGTGGGGAGGTGGGGAGAGATAGCATGGGGAGAAATGCCAGATATAGGTGAAGGGGAGGAAGGCAGCAAATTTCACTGCCTCGTGTATACCTATGCAACAATCTTGCACGTTCTTCACATGTATCCCAAAACCTAAAATGCAATTTAAAAAACCCTACAATTTTAGTTAAAAAATAGAGATATAGAATGAAGCCAAGAGTTTCATTCTTCTCATTTTTAAATAAAAACTCTGCACTTAAAAAAACTCTTGACCTTAAGGCCATACTATAGATTGGATGCCATTAAGTCTTTATGAATATTTAAAGTGACAACATTCCACTGAAATTTAATTCAAATATACTTAAGAATATTTACATTTAATGGTCTATCTACACTGACAGAATTATTCAGTAAAATAAAAAAAATAGTTATCCACAAATGTTAATGTCATTGTTTTAAGCCTTACATTTTTCATTATATATTTGTGGTTTTTCAAGTTACTCTTTTTGTGTCAATGAGAGTTAAAAAGCCATGCTGGTTAAAGTTTTGTCAAATAAGCACAAAGCTAACCCCAGCTAGAGAAAAAAAGTGCAGAGCCCATGAATTTTTAAAAATTCATACATAATATATCATAAAAGTAGGATGAATAATATGGGATGTGGGTTTTAATAAAAAGCTCCTTGACCATTTCTCAGAGACTCTGAGATGTAATCAATATCCAAAAAAGTATCTTGGGGACAGAGCCAAGATTTATGATATTTTTGCCAAGAATGACACTTTCTGCTTACTATATCAGCTTGGGGGACATGATATTGAATTTCAGAGAACACAAGAAAGGGAGGTATTTTTATCTGCCTGACAATGCTTCAAGGATGCACTTTATGGTTTGCTTGTGACATCATATTTGATGGAAGGAAAATAACAACCAAAACAAGTGTTCTGAAGGCAACTGGGAGACTCACGTGCAGCTCAGCATCAGTTCGTGACTGCGTCAGACTTCGGCTTCTTTCCACCTCTGAAAGCAAATCTCCGGATGAAAGATCCAAGAGGCGTGAGTGAAGTTTCTGGGTAAAACCAAGCAGAAACATGGAATAGGGATAATTTAATTGTTTGTTTCAAAATCCTGCCTTAGACAGTTAAATCTCAAAAGAGTTAACATTTCCAGATTAAATAATACATGTCCTGATTTTAAAAAGTTTATTCTAGTTTATCAGTGTTCCATACATGTATATGTATGTGTATATGCAAATTATACTTTGTAAACAATAATCATGCTTTTACAGTCTGTCAGTCTGCCTTGGAAAATATGTAGTAGAAAAATATCAGTAGTAGTTAAAATAAGTAGTAGAAAAACTATGAATATCCTGATATATTTATTGGCTAGTATGAAAATTAACATTTGATATTCACATTACGGAAACCAATTGCCAAGTTCACCTTATTATGTTGAGCAGTGGTTAAAATGCGAGCAGATAATTATAAAAGTGACCTTATTTCTAAATAGCATTGATCTTGTGAAATCTTCCCTTGGACACATTTTAACTCAAAGTCATTAATGTCATCTGTTAGGAACAATTAATGTGAATAGAAAATAATTGCATTGGGGATCTGGGGACTCTGAGGAATTTGTACATTAATATTCACGTGCTATTCAATTATATACTGAATTCTTTATTTCAGTTTTGTTTGGGAGGCATGCTAAGCCAGAGACATTTCACTATATTAATCTTTATACTAATTACCAAGGCTTTTCTGTGGACATTAAATTTGATCTGTTTAATTGCAAGTACAATAAAACTCGTGATTTATGCCTAATGTTTCTGCTAGGCTGATGACATTTTGAAAATGGCACTTATAGCCTGGTTTGCCTTGGTTACAATTTTTGTAGCTTCAGATGCTAAAAAAAATCTAATTGAGTAAGTAAATAATGCGGCTAAGCATGCCTCTCTCACTTCTGAAAAGTTTTCCTACTCCTTTTGCTCCCTGGAGAGACCCTGCTGCACACTGATGCTGATCTAAGAAATGCCTTTGCTTCTTTGCTACTAAGCGATACTAGAATCATCTTAGAGTGCAGGGCTGTCCCCACAGGTCACTCTGTCCCAGGATATCTACCATGTAGTCAGCAGGGACTACAAACTCCTCTCAAATGAGCCATATTCTCTCTGTTCCCCATTTGACTCTCTTTAGGCTGAACTTCTGTGAGAGCCCTGAGTACTTGGTTAGTTGATGATTCAACAAGCATTTACGCAGCACCTACTGAAGGATGGCTCTGTGGCAGGGCAGTGTTCTAGCCTTCTGCAAGGGGAAAGGTATTTTTTTCTGTTGTGGGTTGACCAGTTCTCCTTCTCAGTGGACCTTCAAATTGTATGTCTGTGGAAGTCCTTTCACAAGAAAGAAAATAATATCTAAACTGGTTGCCTGTTGCTTTGAAAATCCAAATTTCTGCAGCAGAGCTAAGACCTCCATACGTAACCAGAACCATGACATTGTTTCTGGACAGATTTTATAATCCTAAGTTCCCTCTACAATCTGACTTTCCTGGGGGCAAAGATAGAATTTATCTCATCTTGTGATCTCCAGGACCTGACAAAATACATCATAGTTAGTAAGTAGCCCATTAATGCTTGTTGTAGTCTATAAACAAAAAGATGTTTTTATATTTTACCCATCCATATATAAGTTTTAAAGATTGAAAGACTGCCAAAAGAATTACAATGTTGTGAGACCTAAGAATACATTTATCAATATGCAAACAGGACAAGAAGTTATGGGAAATGACATTCAACAAAAGAAATGATTTTGAGTGGTATATCACGTGATTTGAGAGACGAGGTCTCAATGGATTAGCTATCTGACTTATGCAGTTCACAAATGCACTTCACTATTGCTTCTCAGATATGTGATGTCACCCTTTTGCCTACTGCATGGATATGTGCATCTAAAAACCTGCCCTCATCAATGCTGTTTCAGTGGCTTTTATCCAAATGGGTCCTTTCCCTCCATTGAAATAGGGAAGGTGAAGGTCTTTGTGGGAGAACCGAGACGTCCTGGGGCAAGGGCCAGGAAACCTGAGTTCTAGTCCTGTGGAAGGCACATGTTTTAAAGGATCTCAGGAATGTAACTGAACGTCTTAGTCTCAGATCCCTCATCTGCTAAAGAAGGATGGGAAAACTTAAATCAGAGCTACCATTTGACCCATCAGTCCATTACTAAGTGTGTACCCAAAGGAAAATGAATCATTCTACCAAAAAGACACACATGTCCATCGCCATGCTATTTAAAGTAGCAAAGACACGGAGTCAGCCTAGGTGCCGATAAATAGTGGATTGGATAAAGAAATATGGTACATATATACCACAGAATACAGCCATAAAAAATAATGAAATCATGTCCTTTGCAGCAACATAGATGCAGCTAGAGGAAGCCATAAACCTATGTGAATTAATCCAAAAACAGAAAACCGAATACTGCATGTTCTCACTTATAAGTGGAAGCTACACATTGAGCACACATGGACATAAACATGGGAACAGCAGACGCTGCAGACTAGTAGATGGGGAGAAAGAAAGGGAGGAATGGGTTGGAAAACTACTTAGTGGGTACTACGCTCACCACCTGGGTGATGGAACCTGTATCCAAAACCCCAGCATCATGCCATATATCCATGTAACAAACCTGCACATGTACCCCCGAATCTAAAATCAAAGTTGAAGTTAAATAAAATCCCTAACAAAGTCACAACATCCAATGACAGAGTTGTAGGCATTAATAAATATACATTTTCAGAAAAAAGAAAGAGGGCAGTGACTGCTTAATCCACTAGCACAGGTGGAGAGCGGCCCTGTTATAGTAAGAAGGGTCAACAAATAGGATCATATGCTGAAATTCACACAGGCCAGTTTATTGTTATGCCTGACAGCTGGTGGTAGGTAATTTCTTAGATAATAAGGTACAAATGAATCACTCATTGTTACAGTTTTCACACATATAAGGCAAATAAAAATTGATTTAGAAAAAAATACAATTTGCTTACATTTTAAAAAAACAATTTAAAATTTTATTTTATTTAAAATTGTTTAAATAATTAGGGTACATAATAGTTGTTTATATTTATGGGGGTGCACGTGAGGCTTTGAAACAGGTATATAATGTATAATGATCAAATTAGGGTAACTGGATTACCTATAATGTATAATGATCAAATTAGGGTAACTGGATTACCTATATTCTCAAGCATAATAAAATCTACTTTTGTGTTAAAGCTATAGGCAAGGAAATGGTAGGTAAACATCACACAACCTCACACAACTTCCCTTAGATAATAACTATGAAACACACAACCCCATAGAGACTACATTTCTTATGATAAGAATTTTTATGATAGGCTTGTATTTTCACCATATATACATATATATTATACAGATATATGTGTATAACATCACTTTTATACTGATACTGTATTACCTGTGCTTAAATGAAAAACAAGTAGAATGTATACATGAGAAACTTCATTAAGTCACTGTCAAAAAGAGTATAACTGACGTGTTTCTATGCAACAATTTTGCATGTTCTTCACATGTACCCCAAAATGTAAAATGCAATAAAATAAATAAATGGGAAAAAAAAATACTCATATGTAAATGGTGCAAAAGAAGTTTGAAAACACAATTAATACAAAGACCTGTCAACACTAATGTGAGGCTTATTCAGTATATTCGATATTATGCCTTGTGCATATTCTACTGATGGGAAAAACTGGTTAAAAAAAAAAACTTCCAAGACTAATAAAATTGTCCATTTGTACCCACATGTATATCCACACATTATGTATAACTATATAATACCTACAAAATACATAAATGCATATATATGTAAAAAAAAAAAAAAAAAAAGAGTATAACTGACGTAAGAGGGCCATTGCCTCTTAAGAGGAGCCCCGCAGCTTAGAGTGCAGATTCTCCATCACATACCCATCTATGGTTCATATTTACTGTTAGTGTTCATCTGAATAAAATCTCATCTGAAATACTTTACATTTCTTATCTTTAACCTGCAAATCCAAATGAATCCTGGAGTTAGACATACTTGTTTTAGACATCAAAAGTAGCAGGACTACTCAGCATAGTTTTGAAATAGGCTTTGTATCATCTGTCACCCTGGCTCAGTAACTGAGATTCAACTGGGCTTCAGAGATAGAGACTCCTAATTCCACACATTTTCAAACCAGAAGTAAATGAGAGTCTTTTTACTCAAATGTTTCCTTTGATGAGGTGATGGTCTAACCCTCCCTGTCAGAGCGGCTTCACTGTCTCTCTTATGTGCTCCTCTCCCGTCTGAGTTGATCTTTTGTCCATTTTCCATGGCACAGTCTCCTCTTCCTGCTCCTAGATCTTGTCCAGTATGCAGGACAACACTGAAACCCTCCCTGTAAAGTCATTTATCCTCACTAACCCACAGTGGATTCCCTGCCTTGAGGGACTGGACTGCCTCTCATTTTGTTCCTTTATCCAAAGTGCACTCTTACTGAACTGTTCTCTGTGTAGTTTCTATCTTCCTAACAGGATGATCAGCTCCATGAAAATGCAGGCCAATCCCTTCATTTCTACATTGTCCCAGTGGCAGGGACTAGCCGGGTGTCATGAAACCTCGGAAACCTTGGCCCTATTCTTTCTGGGCACATGGCTGGTTGGCTGCATATCCCAGCCTCTTTCACAGTCAGGTGTGCCCACATGACATGGTGAGTTCTAGCTCATGGAGCCTGAGCAAAAGTGACATCTGCCCTGTCTTGCCTGGCCCAGGAATACCTCCTTCATATAGTCTTCCAAGCTCTTTCTCCTTCCACTGGCTTGATGCAGCCAACTCAGCACAGCAACGTTGGAAGCCACCTGTCGAAGATGAAGCCAATCAGGTAGAAGGAATTTGGCTTCTTAAATTGTCAACTCAAGAAAGCCACTCTGGGAAGAGATATGTGTTTTTTGGACTTGACATGAGGAAGATATCAACTTATACTGAATTTGGTCCCCGATTCATTTGGAGTTTGTTATTATTGCTGACATTGACCTGG